TTTAGGTCAGAGAACAATGCAGTCTCTCTGCTAGACCGTAGCACGGTGCCAGGACCCTTCACGTCCTCCTCTCTGACCCTCATCACTGTAACATTTCAAAGACACCCCTCCACACTGTGCCACAGATTCCGAAACATGCTGCCTCTCAGTTGTTTCCAATGAAAAAAACTCCAAAAAGTACAATTTGAAGTTGGCGAGCCACGTTGTGGTGAGATATAAAGACAACACTTTATTTATGAATCTGTGGATTTTTCAAAACCTTTCGTTTGCAGACGTGTCTGAAAGGTATTTTCACTTGTTTTGTCTAGAATATTGGATTGCACTGAAAAAAACACAAGATTAAAGCTTATCATGTAAATTTATTTACATGAACATATGTTGCATGACATTTATTTCATTGGTTAATGTCATGACTTTCATTCACAGAAGACAACATCACTTTACACAACCTGTATCTTTCCAAAAGTTGCAGGAGTTAGTGTATGTTCAAAAAGCTGTATTGAAACTTGTCCTGTAGATAAAGTTCTACAACTGTTGCACCATTGCTTAGTACTAGGAGGCACAATCATTTCTTGCCACTTCCTTCAAATGCTCCAAATTATTCAACATTGAAAAGATTCTGAAACATTGGAAAAAGACTTGGTTGCCATTTTATGTGTAATGATTTGCGGGTCAGCATTAACTCCTCTTGAAATTGCTGACATTAAAGAAAGGATTGAACATTTGTAGGAACCAATCTGTATAAAGACAAAACAATCCATCCATTCATCATTTGGTTCTCTAAAATGCCTTATCCAGTCAGTTTTGGGAGAAAGAAGAACAGTCACCCTAAATGGTTGAATATTCACAATAAAAGACCTCTAGAGAACTTAAAACCTAAAGGACGCTTTACACTTGCTGACGCGAAATTCTCTTCTCCACCTCTTGGTGTCCCTCTCTTGTCGCTCCTGCTAGCATCTCGTCTCTCCTGGTCAAGCTCTTATCTGATCAGCTGCTTGTTGCCGGGTGAGGTGGCTCTCACCTGTAATCCAAGCTACCTGGAGGCTGAGGCTGGAGGATTGCTTGAGCTCAGGAGCTCTGAGCTGCAGTGGGCTATGTTGAGCAGGGGTCCACACTAAGTTCAGTATAGATATGGTGTTCCTGGGGGAGCCCTGGACCACCAGGTCTTCTAAGGAGGGGTGAACCGGCCCAGGTCGGGAACGGAGCAGGTCAAATCCCCCGTACTGCTCAGTAGTGGGATCGCCCCTGTGAATAGATGCTGCAGTTCAGCCTGAGCAAGACGGTGAGACCCAGTCTTTTTGCACTCATTAATAAACTACTATCAAATCCTTATTTATATTTGTGCATCTTAAAGCTGCTTTAACATCCATTCTTGCTTCTTGTTTCATCGAAATCCTTCATAAAGCAGGTGGGAATCTTGTCCAACACCGCCTCCTTCTGGAGTATACCACACACTACATCAAACTTTAGAAACTTTGACGCTCTGTTCAGTTTCAAATAACCTTTCATTCGTCTTTGTAAAGACGATTTTATAATTTGTATTGTGGCATTAATATTTATGTAATGTTTTTTTCTTTATTTGACCTGACGGGGTCATACTGAGACATTAATATATATTCATATAAATTAAATCAGAATAATATCATTTATCAATTAATTCAGTTTCTCTGTATCCCTGCAGAATTAATATATTTTCTCAGCATGGTGCTACCACCTCTTCCATAAAGGTCAGATTTGTGCAGTGCGTGACTAATAGTTATCCTGTTAGCAGTTCGGCTAACAGGACAACTGTGTGGTTTTGTTGTGTTCGGTTTCTTCAAAGCTATTATAGCCTGTTGGCTGCTTCGCTGATGAATCCTCTCCTGGTCTCGGCATGGCACAGTAGGTTTAGCTGTGCCATACCCTTTCCATTTTAAGATGATACAATATGACTCCTCATATTGACTTTTCACATAGCATCTCATTAAAATTCGCAAAACCCTGTTTTTACAACATGATGAAAATGTATCATGATGTAAAAGTAGTTTTCAAAGCACTTTAGTTATCCAACGTTCCACCTTGACATTACTCTTTTACTGCACACCGGGCTTGTGAAAGCGAAAACAGTGGCAGCAGACACTGTCACTGTCTGGACTTCACACGTTGGACACGACGAGTCATAAATGTCATTCGTGTATGAGTAAATACTTCATACATGACAACAGCAGTGTTGATATTTTTAAGCTCAGAAGTGTTTGAATGATCATTTTCCCAAATCAGAAGCTTAAAAGAAACCTCCCCTCAGCTACTTCCAAGAAACAATGACCACTTATCAGGGTGCTTAAAATGCTTCCTTAGCAAGTGTTTTCCAGAAAGATCTACTTGAGAGAGCAGTTTATCCCTGAGGTTTGTGTATTAGAAGAATGCGGATGATTACACACACATCACATTACAAGAGTGTGTGCACGCAACGTTCTTCAGTAACTAGGTTTCTCAGAATATTCTAGAAGCAAACACGTTTTGGGTTAGTATTGAACCGTGTTGTGCTTCTCTCCTGGTTACCACAAAACTGGACAAATCAGCTTTTCTCCTTTCTTTTCTTTTCTTACACTCTCAACTCTGTTGGACAGCCTTAAATGCCAAGTATTAGAAATGTCTGCCCTTGCCCAAGCTCTTCAAAATTCCTGCGATGGTGGAACATGTTTTTGTGTGGGAGGACTGTTCTGCCAAGCAAAGCTGTTTTAGTCCTGATTCTTTTTTTTTTTCTCACAAGAAAATCTTGTTCTTGCACCGCCAAATGCTTTCTCGTGACGGGGGCCAAACAAGAAAGGGCCTATCACAAGTAAAAGGGCAACTGCAGCTTTTAATTAGTCTAACTCTAGGTTTCACAGTGCAGTAAAAAAAGAACAGATATATTATGTTTTGTGTTCCTCTTTTCTGTACTACTTAAATGTTTTAGATCATCAAAAAAAAAACAAAACAAAACATTTAGTTACCTGAGTGAACATAAACATGCAGATTTCAAATAATGATTTCAGGAAAAATTTATTTCCTGATCAAAAAAATTAACAAAGGAACCCCTCTGACAAAATAAAGTAAGATAAATGAATCCAAGAAAGGATCAGAAACAAGACGTTAACAGGTGTTATACTGAAAACTGTTCTAAAACCAATTAATAAGCTTATAGCCTCCAACAAACCACACTGAGAAAAAAATATTCACAAAAGTAGCTGGCTTACAAAAATTGCTCATAGAATGCTTTAAAACTCATCAGGCTTCCTTTGCCTCATGTAAGGTCAGTGTTCATGTTTGAATGATGAGAAAGGAACAATAAGGGAAAAAAATGCCTCCATGGGAGAGCTCTAAGGCATAAATGGCTGCTGACCCCATCAAAAAATGTATCTTATATTTCCCAAAAGAACATACTCATGAGCCCTTAGACATTTGGTAAAACGTCTGGTGGTCTGACAGTGGAGATTTTTGGAGCATGTGCATCCTGTTACATCTGTTGTGAAAAGGAAAAAGACAATGCCTTCAGTCAGACATGATGGTGGTAGAGTGATGGTCTGGGACAACTGTAGTTGACAGAGCGACAAACCTTGAACGATAAACGACACCGGGAAATTCCTGTCAGAGAATATCCATTCATAACCTTAAGCTCAAATACACTTGAGTTTTGCAACGGGCACAATGATTACAGGCATACCAAATCCACCTCTGCTAAGTTCCCATAAACCAAAGTAAAACTTTTAGAGTGGCCTAGTCAAAGACTAAATTTGAATCTGATTGAGATGCCGTGGAGTGACCTCGATGCTCAAAACACCTCCAATGTGGCTGAATTGTGACGATTCTGCAAAGAAGAGTGGGCCAAAGCTTTTTCACAGTGATGACTCATTGCCAGTTATCAAAAATGCTTTAATGTGCTGGCAGGGGCTGCAAAACCTGCCATTAGGTTCCGGTGGGGCAATTATTTTGCAGACTCACGATATAGCTTTTAATAAAATTTTTTCCTTATGGACTCAAGTTATCTTTATCTAATATCAAAATTAGTTTGATAATCGTATTTAGCTATGACAAAGGGGGGGGGGGGCGATAATTTTTCAGAATAACGCCACATGAAAGAATGCTTGGATTCAAGGGCAAAATTTGATACATTTCCAGTATATTTTGCCCCCACAGAGGCCGTAAACCTCCACCAAATTTACATTTTTTCTCAGACAATCCCCACACTTGCGGCATCATTTACAGTGAAAAGGCTACAAGGAACTGTGAGTGGGTTTTTGGGGAGCCCCTTTAGCATTTCTCAATGCCGCGAGGCCTCGATGGCGCCCTCACTTATTTGCAGCTGGTGTGTCGCAAAGCGAGACGGCGTGGCACAGAATGTGGAAATCACCATTAGACGTGTCGATATTCGAGGCCCAGTCACCCATGCCAGAGGTTTGGGATGTGGCGTCCCTGGAGGACTGAGTCGAAACGCAGCATCATATGCGACTGCCCCAAAAAAAGGGGAAGAAGATATACCCTTGATGTCAGTTTGATACTTGCCTACAGACATTAAAGTAAGGCTGCACAAAAAAATAAAAAAATAAAAAATACAAAACAACAACAACAACAAAAACAGCAAAACAAACAAAAGAAAAACATTTGTCTCCTGTAGAAAGCTGACTGTTTTTAAGTTGTTGTTGTTTTTGTAATCTTACACAAAGTTCCTCATATCCTGAAGGTGTTGAGTTGAAATGAATGTGATAAGTTATTTCTCAGGAATTTACACAATTAGTTTGAGTTCAAACTTTCCATCAGACATGTGACTTCCAGTCTAATGCAACTTACCCAGATTCTTACCAGAAGCCACATCAGATATAGATAATTAGGTATACAACTCTCACAGTGTGTGTATATGTGCATGTGTGTGTGTGTGAGTGTGTGTATGTGTGTGAGACAGAGAGAGAGTGAGAGAGTGAGAGAGACAGAGAAAGGGAGAGAGCGAAAGAGCAAGAGAGAGAGAGAGAGAGAGAGAGAATGAGAAAGAAGGTGAAAGAGGAGGAGTGTCAGAGAGGGAAAGAAAAGAGGGAAGAAAAAGACTCATTGCTCATTAAGCGGTAAGCCAAGTTCTGCTCAAAACTAGCTCTACAAAGACTTTCCTTTACTGACACACACACACACCCATACACACTTTTTCAGAAACCCAAAGCAGAAGTGGACAGAGACACCGGTTTTCAGTCGCTGTGGTTGGCTATGGCTCAGGGCTCTGACAGCAACGACGCAAGCTACAAGTCCCCATCACCTGGAAGCAGACCGGTAAGTGTCTCATTTATTTATTTATTTTTTTTTTAATTTTTTGTTTACCTTTTCAGATAATCTCCAAATAGTTTTACTGAAAGAGTACACATATATATCAAACATCTGTCTCTTCGATCGCTCTCTGTGCTTCATGCACACTTTGTGGCCATCGAGGCTCCTGTCTTTGGTAGCTCTTTTTTTTCACAGCTTGTCAGGGTGTTTCACTTGCACACATGGGCTGGAGGCATGATTCGCATCAAGTGTAGGCTTTTTTGAATTGCACAATTCATCACTTGCCCAAGCTGTGGGAATCCTTGTTTTTTTTTTTTTCTTTTTCTTCTTCTTCTTCTTTTTCTTTTTTTTTGTTTTGCAATTCTCGAAACTGTGAATGATCTAAACGCTGTCAGGAAAACTCATTTATGTGACTGTCATCCTTCTGCCTTCACGTGTGCAAGCCTTTGGTGTTCATGGCAGTTCATATGGGAGCGTCTGGTGGCTTTCAGGCTACATTACCAGACAAACAAAGAGAGAGTTGTCTCTTTGATGTACAACTGAATCAGCATTTAGAGAAGGATTAGTTATTGTGATACCAAAAGCGTTAGGGACATGAAACAGGGTGTGCGTTACACCTAACCGAAGACTCAGCCACTCCCTGATCCTACCCTTCACATTGGGCTCTATGCAAACTCAATCTCCTGCCAAACTGCCATTGGCATACATAACACTCCAATTTTCAGCCACCAGTGATAGATAGGAGGTTTTGGGTGGTTTTGTCCTCGTATACGTTGCATCGACTGAAAGGTGGTTGTGTTTTTGCCAGAGCTCGTCGGATGACGTGAAGAAAGTGATGAGGAGAGAGAAGAACCGTATCGCTGCACAGAAGAGCCGGATGAGGCAAACTCAGAAAGCTGACAGCCTTCACCTGGTGAGGAAGCCAAAAACTTTGCCACAAACATCACACGCAGCAGCAGAAACATGAGATGCAGATTATCTTATTTTTCAAAACGTGCTCTAACCGACAAAGATTTAACTACAGGATATGTTAAGCAATGCCCAGAACAGGTAGCTTTACCTTAACGTACAGCATTCCCATTACGAGAGAACTTTATGTCTCTGCGAATAGGTTTGTGCTATATTTACAAAATGCTACCTGACCATGTGGTGATGTGTCATGGCTTCTGTTGGGCTGCACGCTTGGGTGCTTCTCTATGTGTTTGCAGAAGATTAAGGAATAAATTAACACGTGTGGGCAATCAAAAATCCAGCGCCAAAGACTGCAGCCCTGCCGAGCTCAATGGCAAGAGTGTGTGTGTTCAGTCAGCTAATTTTATGTGATAGTTGTCATCTGTGTTGATGACTTACATGGATCTCCAGGTTCAGGTCTGCATAACATCAAAAGTAGCTACATTTGATTTTCTTCTGTTTAACCTTTTTTCATATTTTTTTTTTAAAAAGGACAATTTGTACCTTAACACCGTGCTCTGCTGCCGCCACTCTGTTTTCAGTTTTCAGAACATCAACTTCTGTGAACTTTATCTGATAATTCGGAGAGATTTTGACCTTCAGAAAAGCCACATCGTAGGGCATAGTAGATTCTGTGAAACAGATCTGAATGCATGACACTACTTCCAGTGAAACATGCTGCATTTTATCAATCTGTTTAAAACCCTGTCACATTCACAAAGAACACCAGGGGACCACAGAACATGCTCTGTGGTTTTGCTTTCATCGTCTCGCTAGATAAACAGGAAGGTGAATTTTTCCCTTGCTGTGACACAGTCTCTTATTTCCTGTTTCTTCTGTAGTATTTTTTTCTCTGTAAATGAGTTTGAATGTTGTGTGTCGTGGGCAGCAGGGGAGAAAAAAAGGGCTGTCACTTCTTGTAAAGCCCTGATAGCAGTGGGCTGTATTTGGCTAAGTGACGCAAGTACATGGGGTTTACCCAGAGCTTCTCTGACAGTAAGGACCTGAAGGTTTTGGTCATGGTGAGATGACCTTTATAGTACCTGAGTGGAAGATTTTTGCTCCACAATCCCCACACATAGACGGTAAAGAAGAAAAAAAAAAAAACACAAAAAAGGGAAAAAAAAAAAAAAAAGTTTTCTGGTTGTGACGTAGAATTAACTCTTTTTAAGCTGTTTTGGAAAGTCAAACTCTCAAACCCTATGAATGGTAACTTCTCACACTGTGATGCTGCTGCAAGACATTGCAGGTGGTTTCTCTTGTTTTTCCAGACTTCTGCAACACAGTTGATGCTCTGTCTGACAGCACTATAAAGAAGACTCCAAAGTCACTTAATTTCTTTCCTTAATTTCAGTGTAGAAGTAAAGATTACATCTTTTTTTTATTGACTTGTTTGGCTTAAAAAAACACCCTGTTTAGTCATTGTTTGAATGAAATGAATAATACTCTCATACCTAACAAAATATTTACATTTTGTGCACATAACTTCCAAATGAAAACTGTTGTCACAGAATAAATTAGTAGGATAAAACAAAATTAAAAAGTAGAAACTCTCGAAATTTGACCTAATAAAAAGAGTTAGTTTACTTTATCTTATATCACAGTTTGCTCATAAATGATGCAGACCATTTTAGGAAAACAATAACGCCTGTAAAGTACAAAACTTTGACAACAACTACATATTTAAACAACATCTAGAGCCTGTAAATTGTTATAGATGGGTTTCATTATATTAGGTGACTTGCATTGTATTGTCATTTTGTTATGTAGCTCAGATGTTTACATGTCTATATCCTGTATATGATACATGCTTCATTTCATTCACAATAATTGTGTTATAATGTGTTTTATAGTCAGGAAATGAAGATTCTTGTTCATATTTAAGCTAAAACATATTCGATGTCTACTGCTAGTTGAAAATGCCAGCTATTATTTGCATGATAGTCCACACACAAGGAACTGATGAGTTGTTCTGGGCTGAAATATTTCATGCATAGTGGTGGTTTTTAGCAGAATGCTAACACACTATCCTGTTAACATGATTATAAGTCAACAAACTCATGCTGAGCACATTACTTTAGTATCTCCTATAACAGTTATAAAGGCCTTTGGTTTGACCAGAATTTTTATTTTTATTTTTTTTTTTTGTGTGTGGGATGAAGGCATTCCCTGGGGGACTCCTCCAAGTGTCGAGGGAGATTCAATGAGTAGCAGGAAGCAAACATCTTAAATTATTTAAATAATAACTTAAGCGTTTGTGCAAGATTACTTTTTTTTTTTTTGCGTATAATATTATGGAAATTTGGGTTGGATGTACAGATTCGGCAACCAAGATGTATCAAACAGTGATAATTGGTTTTCTTGGAAGAGTTGTGTTGTTTATATAAATTTACATTTTGTGGTTTTGATGGTCCAGGAATTTTGTGAGGGAAGTTAGAGATTTTCCAGCTTTGTCAAAGGCGTACTTCACCATTCCTGAAAAACCCTACTCTGAAATGAAAGATGATCAGAAAAGGAGAAATGAAATTGTGACCTAAATTTTAAGAAGAACTGCATCATAAGGTATTATTTTTTTTCTAAAGGCCACACAAAGAAATCCCTCATAGTTGTATTGTAGCTAAAAAAAAAAAAAAAAGAAAAATGCAAGATGTTGTGATACAATAAATTTCTTTAAAGACACTGTCCTAGATTTCAATAGTATTTTAAAGGTACTGCGCTTTCTTCTTTCTTTTATGCCCGTTCCTCTTAAAACAAAACTTATACTTTACATTTTTAGAAAACTGTTAAAACTGTAGAAATAAGAGGAAGAAAACGCATTCACATACATTTAGTAACACTTGTGTTTTTTTTTCCAGTTTTGATGTAAAACGTCAGAGTGAAGTTGAAAAGAAAATGTAATTAAGACAGAGAATGTAACCATAGCCAAATCCATTCAAAAGTACCAGTACCAGCAGCAATGTTTATGTGTGCTGTGGGTCACACTGCTCCTTTAGTCAATCCCCATATCTCTATTTTAAAAATACATATTGCCATTTTGTCCCTATGCTTCCATGTTATACCATGGGCTATGAGTTCATCTCACATTGCTGTTATTGTGATAAATGGGTATGCAAATCCTAAAATCTCACTTATTCCTTAACAGAGTAGTATTTTATTATCTGAACCGTTTTATTCTGACACTCCATGTATTTTTCTTCTGTCAGCCTGGGCCACCTACATTCAAACTGAAATAACACTAAGTAACCTCCAGCTGCTACATATGTGCTGGACTCATATAATCACGTTTCTTCATAGCAGACTATAAGCAGACAACAGAAAATAGCTGCATTCATGTAAAATCTGGTGTGAAATGCCCCCCTCTGGTGGCTACCAATTGATGCACGGTTCGTATGTCTTTGAGTAGAAGTTTTGGTTGTTTCATTCCAGAAAAAGTCAAGCACAAAATGAGCAAAACTCCGATAGCATATACCGACAAACAAAAACAGAATGGTACGACACAATCTAAGAAACAATTATCCCAACATCCATTGGAATAATATAGCTATTTATAGTCCTACTAATGTTATTTATATTATTTATGAACTGTGTTTTTTGCAAGCATAACCTTCCACGCAATGAAAAGTTGACTTTTTTTGCAAGTGCGCGAAAAGCGCACCAACTATGTTCAGCAACACGTTGGGAAGGGGCACTCCGATCCGTGCTCCATCCAGCAGACACAACTCCAGTCACTCTGACACTTTTTTACGGCATTTTAAAAAGACTTTGAAACGGAATATTGGAGCAGTGCGGTTTTGAAACCATAACTTTTTAAAACCTTGATGTGGTAACCAGTCAATGCTTGTTGTGCCCTCATTAATAGAGTCACAGGAGATTTACTTCTTGCTTTTGGCCAAGACATTTGAAAAGACTTGCTTAAGCACAAGATCATGTAAGGTAGCCTAAAAACAACTGGTTTGGCTGATCATTTATCTAGCTTGGCATTGCAGCGTAGAACCACTTTCTGCTATTTTGAGCTCAGATCTAACAGTCCTGTCCCTGTGTGTTTCCAGGAAAGCGAAAACCTGGAGAAGGAGAATGCCGCCCTGAGGAAGGAGGTGAAGCAGCTCACAGAGGAGGCCAATTACCTGTCCTCAGTGCTGAGCAGCCACGAGCCCCTGTGCACCGGGCTGGCCCCGCAGACCCCGGACCTCCTCTACCCTACCCATCAGAGCAGCTACCACCGCCAGCACATCGCCGTACCACACTACCAGCGCTGACCTGCCCGAGGGCCTGTGGCTAAAACAGATGACTGACCTCAAGAGACACAGACTGACAGGAGACTTGTGTCTTTTTTGTTTATTGTTAAAACGTAGTTAAGGCAAGACAGGCTAAGTTGTCCATCAAGCAACGAGCCCAAACTGTAACCAGTAGAAATCAAGACCTATTTATTTTGCTTCTTCATGTCTCTTTGCTTTCCGATTGTAAATCCATATGTGAATTTAAATGGCTTGGTAAGTAGGTTTATCAAATAGTCCATGTTTACAAAGAGAGAGGAAACAAAAATATTGTGCTCACATTTGTAAATGCTTATTTTTAGTATTTCAGGGAGCACCTTTTGTCATCTCATGTCTTGTGTTCTTTGTGTGTGTAATATGTTTTTGTGTGTGTGTGTGTGTGTGTGAGTGTGTGTAAATGCTCAGGAGCCTTGACAGTGTTGATTGTGGACAAAAAGAATGTAAATGTAAAAAAAAAAAAAAAAAAAACAGAGAAAAGGCTAGAAATGAAGGAATGGTTAGTGAGAAGACCCAGTGGATGTATTTATTAAATTTTATGCTTTTTTTTTCTGAAACATCATCTGTAAACCTTCTGGGTTCATGTTATTCTTTTGTTTGCTAGGACAGCTGGGTGTGTGTAAAGTCTGCACAGGTGCTGATAACAGGGACACGTGACAGACGTTTTATTTCTCTGCTCAGACGCCTCTAGGTGGCACTGTTTAACAGTGTGTGAGATCGAATTACAGTAGCTTATATTTATAAAGCATAAAATAATTCATTTGTGGATTGCTCTGTGTGTGGGTATAAGGGTTCATTGTTGCCCTTGAGCTCCACTGTCACCTTTTGCTTGTGCTCCACTCCTGGTGGCCTAAATCAAACGGCCTGTTATCTGCAGTGTATTAAAGCAGGAATTAAGTGTAATAATAAACTGGCTTTAATTGGTTTCATTTTTATTACTGACTCTTTTGTAATAAAGTAGATAAGGATATCTCGCTCGCTCACGGAGATACCAAAACGTATCTCATTACATGTTATGTAGCGTGGACTGAACTGTTCAGACAGCCTCGATGAAGTTCTTTTTTGTACTGCTAAACTCCGCCCTGGTGGCCGACTTTAACCTACTTCTTTTAAGATTTCAAAGCGGCGAGTTTGAGTCCGGGTGGTGGGACAGAGCGGGCTTCCAAACACGTGTTACATCGACCTCTAAATCTATATCTATTCATGAAATATCCCGCTGATCTTTTATGTTGAGCTTATTTATAGTTTGAGGGGAACAGTGTGACTACTATACTTGTTTTCGAGGAGGAAACGCGCTGTAAACTTTGAGCGGCACTGTACTCTCATGTGTTACACATTTGTAACAAACAGAAACGTTTTGACTTGAACTCGCTTTTTTTTTCTTTTTGCTGAAAATAGTTATTTGTAACACATTTTGATCGTTTTATTTAGCTTTAGTTATTATTATTATATAAACGAGACACAACTGGAAAGCATTGTATGATCCTCTATGTGCTCTATTACTGATTCCACTGAGAAGACTTGAACATGAACGAGAAACACACGCTGGAAAACACTAAACTAAATCCGGAAGACTTGGCGAACTATGCGAAGCTCGAGGCGGGCGACGCGTCTAAGCTCCCCGGCGACCAGAGCCCAGAGGACGGCCACGGGGAGCCGCAGCCGACCCGTCTGTACAAACGCCGCTGGATTATCGTGTTTCTGTTCAGCTCCTATTCGCTGTGCAACTCGTATCAATGGATCCAGTACGGAATCATCGGAAACATCTTCATGAAGTTCTACAACGTGGAAGCGTTCACCATAGACTGGACGTCGATGATCTACATGCTGACGTACATCCCGTTGATCTTCCCGGTGACCTGGCTGCTGGACAGAAAGGGGCTCCGGGTGATCGCGCTGGCGGGCACGGCGCTCAACTGCGTCGGGACGTGGATCAAAGTGGCCAGCGTCCGGTCCGATCTGTTCGCCGTCACCTTCCTGGGGCAGTTCTGCTCCTCCTTGGCGCAGGTCTTCATCCTGGGGATGCCGTCGAAAATCGCCTCGGTGTGGTTCGGTTCGGAGGAGGTGTCCACCGCCTGCTCCATCGGAGTCTTCGGGAATCAGGTGATGCAAATCTGTGCTGGATAAATAGGTCAAATTAATTATTCACCCATTTTCTGATTTGGTCGATTGCTTCAAAGATTTTCTGTAAGGTCCTTGCTTCACTTATGGAGCACCGGGACTGCCATAATCAAAAATAAAGAATATAAATAACTCAACAGAACAATCATTATGGCACATTAACCAAAAAATAAATAAATAATAACACAAAAAGCACAGGACTACAAAATGTTGTAGTACCCACTTCCAGTCTTTAAACTATATATGTTCAAATACCTCAAAACTAGTTCTGAATGGAATCACTGGCATAGATATTTAATTTTTATTTCAATAATTGCATTCTTATCACAGTAAGTATATGTAGAAATTAATGACCTACAAAACTGCAAAAAAGAAACACTTTATTCAAGAGAAAAATGCATTTGTAAGTATTAAAACACCATCAATAAATTAATGAAACATGATGCATAGATAAATCAAATTTAGAAAAAAAAGAAGGGAATATTAAAACATTTTTAAAAGGAAAAAATAAAGCAAATAAGTGCTATAAACTTATATTGTACTATTTCAATTATTCTAGTCAATGCCACAAGGTATGAGAAGATCTGCTGGAGTTATATTTTTTTAACACACTCAGCACTAGGAATAACTAACAGTTGTCTATGGAAATATCTCTTTAGTCAAGAATATGACAGTAAGAGGCCATCATTCAGGGCTGAGGATGTTGCAACTGAGAGCTAGTTCAAATAAGAGATTTAATAAACAGGAACAAAACATGTTAGCTGTCAAAAGCTTGAAAAATGTTTAAAAAAAGACATACGCACAAACATAGTGACCAGTACCAGGGTGAATGACTTCATTTTCAGGATATTAGAAAGTATGTTGTAAGTTTTTCCTTAGAAACATCACATAGACTGTTGCTTGCAGTCTGTGGTGAGAAGTAGCAAAGACTTGTAAATATTAACATTTGTAGCAAGTTTCCGCCGTCTACAGGCATTAGTTTTCACAAGAGTTGTTTTGACTTTTATGTTGAAGAGTTATTTTCACTTTTATACTTATAGAAGTCTGTGTTGGAAATGGTTTCCGAAGAATTAGACTTTCTCATTTAAAAGCGTCACCTGACACGGTTTATGGTAATGAATATGTGGACATTGTAGTACGATCACATGTACGACACACCACTATTCATTCCAGCTGCGCTCGCGTCTTTCTGCAGTGTCCAGACTGGAAAGCAAGCAGTTGGGAAGCACAATCTGGAATCCTAAGACAGCTCATTTTGGCTGATCCAGGCAGGGGCCCCGCTTTGGGACAGCTGAGATGCCTCATAACAATACCTTGAAAGGAGACCGTGCAAATCCTGAACTCACCGTTGAAGAATGGCTGCAGTCCGAGGCTGCAAAAGGTCCCTCTCCGGGCCTTGCGAGCTCGGGGCCCCATGGCAGAACACTCTCCCCTGGCTCCAGATTGGAAGTTGGGGCTTCAGGTGACCAAGCTGAGCTGTTCCAAATAGCCAAAACCAAGCTTTACCATCGTCGCTGGGTCATGCTTTTTCTCTTCAGTGCAGTCTCGGCTAACATTGCCCTCATGCGGCTCCAGTATGGCATCATTAGTAACATCTTCATACGCTTCTACAAGGTCGATGCCCTGGCCATCGACTGGTTGTCTATGATCTACCTGCTCACATATGTGCCCCTTGTTCTGCCCGTCCTCTGGCTCCTGGACAACCGGGGAGTCCGGGATGTTGTCCTTGCCGGGTCAGCCTTTAACTGCATCGGTGCCTGGATAAAAGTTAGCAGTGCCAGTCCGGATATGTTCCTGGTGACCTTCTTTGGACAGTTTGTGTGCTCAGTTGCCACAGTGTTTGTTCTTGGTATTCCTTCTCACCTTGCCTCAGTTTGGTTTGGAGAGAACGAAGTTTCAACGGCTTGCTCCATCGGGGTTCTGGGAAACCAGGTTTGTCCGAAGAAGTCAACTGATCAAAAATAATCTTCCTACTTATTTTCTCAAGTTTAAGTTTGGTTTAGTTTGTGCATTTTAGCGAGAAAAAAAAAAAAGTTTGGTTTTGATGATTTCAACAAGATGAAACTAATATGTGTGGATTGGTGATATTGAAGTCTAACAAATAATTTGCTTACGCTCACCCTTTTACACAAGTTTTATGTGAAAAAGTATAAAATGTACAAATGTGTGAAAGAATTAGGACACCTGCATAAACATTAGTTTTATTCAAGCATGTTCCTATCTAATATAAAATGTTTTTCAGGAAACTAATTTTAGTTAATTTATGGTGGATACAAAAAAAAAGAACTTTTTCCTCATTAAACAAACTAATAACTAAAATATGGAAAAGTTTAGGAAACCTTCATGTAATTCTAACAACTTTAGCTGGAAAAAAAGCTCTTAATCTTGTATTCTCACTTTCAACTTTGAGATCTTTGAGTCATTTCTGGCAAGTTACACTGCTGCAACTCAGTGAGATTAAGATCTGGACTTTGGCTAGGTTCTGAACAGAACAGTTCAGTTCTTCAGCTTGAGTTCTTTTTTTTTTTTTTTTTACACCTCATGTTTTACTGTAGCGTGGCTGCCTCTGATATATATCAGACCTGTCCAGATTCTGCTTCAAAGCAACCATAACACTTTTACTTCCATGATTTGGTATAAGTTTATTTTTCTTAAGCCAAAAGTGTCCTCTGTTCTGGTGGTAGCAAAAACTATTCTGCCCAAAGAACATTGTTCCAGAACTCCTGGTTTTTGTCTTCATGTTCTCTGGCGTTTGTGTTTTTCTTAGAGTTCAAAGGTATTTTTCCTTGCAAATCACCTATGATAATTTAACTTGTTCTGTCTCTTTCTGATTGGACAGGTCACTTTCACTTCAACATTCTGGAGCGCACCAAGCCAAATGTCTGTCTGAGGTTTAGAAAGTGCAAAACGTCCTTAAAAATGCTGAGTAATGACGCTCTAACTTTGTGCTCCTCACGTGAAACACCTCCGTTCAAACTGGACCATTTTAAGTTTATAATATGTTTTTGTGGGCGTCCTAATTTTGATTTTTACCAGAGATTGTTTTTTAAATCACAGTTTACATAAAGTTTTGCAGGTTGAAGTTATATTGTTTGAAATTCCCTGTATTGTTACAGTTGATGTTAAATATCTCTCTAGACATATATCCAAAAATGCAAGCAAAACACATTTCCTGTCATAGGTTGTGCTCATATTTTCGATGCTTGTGTCAATTATATTTGGTGTAAATTTGTAATGTGATATTTTGTTGGCCGCTATTGAAATACCCCTTAGAGTTTACATATTGATAACGGTATTTGGCACTGAATTATCTGCTTACCACAAGGACTTTTATTTTGTTTGAACTATCAAACATCAAATTAAAATGTCCATTTTCAAGTCAATTTAGCTTAATTAAATAGCTCCAGCTCAAAACATTTTACTGTCACGTCATTTCAGTTCCATCACACATACATTCCAAGTGATCCTAGTTTCTTTTGGTACTGCTTAGATCACAATAAGGTGGCACTTGTCTTCATTTTTATTTTTAATTTTGTGTTTCTGTGTTCTCTAACACACAGATGGGCTGTGCCATCGGGTTCCTCTTGCCTCCAATCCTGGTGCCTAACGTGGAGGACATGGACGAGCTGGCAAAGCACATCAAAACCATGTTCTACATAACAGCAGGAGTGGCTTCTTTTCTTTTTATCCTCGTTATCTTTGGTAAGATAAATCTCACACATAAAAGTAAAGCCTTTTATGTGCCAAGTCCCCACTTCCTTATCTGGCTGTAAAGCAATTAAGAGTTGATTTTTTTCAGATTATTATTTTTTTCTTTTTTAATTTCATTTGGAAAGAGTAGAAAAGATGTTTTGAGTCTTATAACTTCCACGGAGTTGTATTTCTCAGCCAGGCGACAAGATAATTAAAGATTTTTTTTTTTGTTTGTTTCTGAAGTTAGGCAAATATTAACTTGAATAAATGGGATTTTACTGTACAGTGAAACGGCAGCTTTCTGTGAATGAATGAAGAAGTAAATCATCAGTGACAGACTCAAGCTCATTGTAGAAAAGACTTTGCATCATTCTCCCTTAAGTTTTTTTTTTTTTTTTTTTCCAGAGCTGAGACATTTAGAGCCGTATTGTGTGGGTCTATTTTGGACCGGGCTAATGGGGAGTCTTTATTCAGCAGATCTTTGCAGGGATGGTTTTAATTTCCACGCTCTGACTGAGAGCACAATTCAATAAAAAGGAAAAACCGATGACATATGTGTACGCACTGGGAGATTCATATTAAAGATCATTAGTCCACTCAGGAGAAATGTCCTGGCCGAAAGGCTTTCCTGAACAAAAGTCAACAGCATTATTTTGTCGCAGCAGGGTTTGTAACTGACGTATTAGAAACAAAGAAACCAAACGCCACAGGAAAATTCAGTACATTGTGGTAAAGGGAAGTGGCGCGACATGTGATGTTGCACAGGATACATGATGTTTGGACAAATGGTAACGTATAGAGATCTTTGAATTTCTATGAACCGCCTATTTTTTTCTTCCCGATTTAACATTTTCGTCCAGCTGTAAGGCCTTTTTATTATAAACTGCTCATCTATTTCACACACCTGCATCTTAATGCTCTTCTGTGGATTGTAAATTAATCACAATGCAAAAAAAACAAAAAAACTACACAAAACAGGAAAACAGTTTGTAAAGGAAGGAAAAATGGTTCTCACAATGGTTACTGTCTTCTGTTAGCAGGAAAAGAGTGGACCCACTGGTAATCACTCTAGCATTCCTTGAAACAAAAGGATGTTTGTGAAAGCATTTCCATCTAGTACCATGCACAACACTGTGTCAGTGTGAGTTTGTGTGGTGTCACAGTCTCCTGTTGTGGTTAACTGCAAACTTCAGCTAATTTCTTCCAACATGTGACCAGCTGAATGCTGTGTCACGTGCATTTTTCAATCGGACAACTTTGAAGGTGGGTTTAAAATGATGTCGTAAGTACAACTATATAAACATATTATTTTTCCCTCTCCAAACTAATTTTAGTGCATCAAGCCTATGGGTTGAAACGTTTTCAAATGAAAATCTGGTAAAACTAAAAAAACAACTTTTTATTTTTTTTATTTTTTATTTTTACTTTTTTCTGAGTGTTGACTATTTATTGTCTAATTTGTTTAAGATTTTTTTGTCTTTCTTTTCTTAGGTCAACATAACTAAAGTCACTGTGCAATTTGAGATCAGGTCACGTTTTCATGACTTAACTTTTCAGTGACAGAAATTTTGCATACCAGTGCACTAAGCTTGAGAAACATTGCTTAGTTTAGCATTAAGCCCAGGGAAAAGGATGTGTGTGTGTGTGTGTGTGTGTGTGTGTGTGTGTGTGCGTGTGCGTGAGTGTGTGCATGCGTGCGTATGTGTGTATGTGTTAAATCTGTTCAGGGATTTCACAATATGGGAATTGGCTCTTTTAAAACTGACACATTGCACTTTTGCTTAATGTTCCGCTCTTCATATTCATTCAGTGGGTTAAAAGTAAGAAAAATGCAATATCTAATTAAAAAAAAATATTTACAGCTCCTTCAAATTTTATTTTTTATTTCATTTTTTAAAGTTATTTAGCTTGATATGTTGCTTTTTTTGCTAAGCTAAACCAAGAAAGAACAACAGATCAAGATAGATAAGATTAAATAATGTATTCAAAGATTAAATAATGTATTCATTGCAAAAAATCATAAAAAGATATGAAAAATGTTAATATTTACTTATTAATATCAATAGAAAATACATCCAATAGAATGTTCAATAATTTTCAGTGAACTCTAATCTAGAACCGTAGGCAGAGGAAAGTTAGCCGCTCACTTCCCACGGCCAGCTCAGCTAGGTTAACGTCATCAACTAAATAACTTGCTCTCTGGTTACCTAGCAACAACCTGTTGAGTAACTTGTGCAGCAGCAGTTTCATTACTGCTTAAAAACCAACTATAGCAGGAAGTAAAAGGAGAAAATGAATCTAATAGTTCAAGAGAAAACTCTGGATAAAAGACGAAAGGTAATTTAACCAGTTTGGCAGGTTTTCAGATATTTAAAACAATCAATAATTATCGCTGTTAGCTGACATGAATCTATATCGTGATACAGTTTTCATCAATATTGTTCAGCCCTAAAGTGCTTATTTTTCATTCCACAGGATGCACTCTAGAATAGTTGAGTTTTTTTTTTGTTTTACTTGAAAATGAAAACAAAGCTCAAACTAAAATATACTTTGACTTTTTCACTGTTAGCACTTACCAACATGTACTGTAGAATTTCCTTCATTTATTTCAAGCATGGCAATGTTTTTAAGCAACATATGGATCTCTTCATGTTTTTCGTGAGATAATTTCATTCCACTTAGTTTCATCATATGACACATACACACATAACACATCCAGACTTCCATGCAAAGTGCCATGTGTGAGGGCCGCCCTGCTGAGAAGGCCATCTGTAGCCCCGCAACAGTCCTGTGAGTCAGCAGGGCGGACAAAGTCCCGCGAATGAGAAATTTGCATAAACTGTGTGCAGAGAGGTGAGAGAACAAGTTTGGCTGCTGCACTAGTTTGCTAAAAGACACTGACCGCACATGCATGTAAAAATGAACAGCTTGGTGTACAAAAAGGTTCCTGTTTTAAATTTTGACTTTTAAATTTTCAGCAAACATAAGAAACTGATAAGAACAAACAAACAAACAAATAAAAAACAAGATTGGTGCATTTCAACTATATTTTTTAACTATGTTTCTTAATTAGCACAGTAGCAATTACTACAAACTGGTTACACGGAGGAGAAGCTAAACACAGACACACACATCTGTGTTTTTTTTACTAATACAGTCAGTTAGTAAGAGGATTATGCACAATGCAAAAGTGTTCTGAGAGTTATTTATGAAAAACAATGGGAGACATGACCACAAATGACAGACTGATATGAAAATATAATCAGATAAAATTCATATTTACGTTATGGCCGATACAACATTGATATGTTGTATGATATTACATTTCTTCACCTACACGTTCAATACTATAATAAATGTCATGTTGTTCCTCGGATTTAGTTTTATTGCCTCACAATCATCACTGTCACATGTCCAAACAAATTCCACACAAACACAACAACATGACAACAAGTTGGACATAGATAGACATTAACAAATTCAAAATTCCACTTAAGGGATCAATACTGATATGTTACAAGATGACAGCAGATACATAGACCATTTCCCCTGTTTATACTTGATATCGTGGCTCATTTCTTTAGATGTTTTCATATTGTTTCACAAAAAAGCGGTGTCTTGAGGCGATGCCTTAAAATTCATCCATGCATGCTACCATTTAATGATATCATCATCATCTGTGCTTTACATTAATTAATAAAATGTAATAAAAACAACCAACTGACTGAAATAAGAAGCATTTAATCTAATCTAATTTCAGACTGGGACTATCACTATGGTAATATTTTGATTATACTGTGTCTTACCTTGTTTTTCTCTCAATATATGTCAGTTTTCCAGGAGCGCCCGAAGCTTCCACCGACTCTGGCGCAGGCCTCAGCTCGCACAATGCCCCCAGAGGACTACTCCTATCTAGCATCCATCCTCAGGCTGCTTCGAAACAAACCCTTTGTGCTCCTCATCGTCAGTTATGGTCAGTGAAAATGTTTTACTCTAGTATTACAGCCAGTGCTTGTAACCACTTCTGCAATAAAGTGCATTAAAAACATTTAAAATTGGTTATTGATTTTAAAATTTGGGGTCAAAAAAAAAAAAAAAAAAAAATCTGGTAGCATTATACCGCTCATTGTTTCCACAAAATATCAAACTGTGTTTATTCTCTTCCTTGATTAGCATTGATTACAGTTAAAAAAAAAAAAGCTTCCAGGAAGGCCTGAAGACACTGTTTATTGACTAATGAAGTACATCTTATCGCTGAGTCGTGGATGTATCCATACACGCAATTACCACCGTTATTGGAAAACCCATTGAGATCATAGGGAATGCATGGTGGAGTGGTGGAAGGTTTGCTCATCTGCTAATGTTTAACTGCTAGTTGGCCTCCGTGTGGCTGAAAGATCACAGCACAAGCTCATATTCTAATTCTTGGAGCTCCAGGGAGAAATCAGTTACAAACTGAGCGAATAATTACAAAAATCACTTTTCAAATAAATATTTTACAACAAAATTAAGATAATCTTCTTCATAAAAAAATATAAATATATTTGACTCTTCACAAATCATGCATCTATAAATAGTTAAAAGAAAGTGTTGTGTTTTTGTTTGGCTTTCCTTGTTTTAATTCAAATGGTAAGTGCTGGACAAGAGTTTCCTGGCACCTCCTTCAAGTGAACCTTTGGGTCAGAGGTCACTGGACTCAGCCACGTTCAACTGTCTCTGTCACTTCACTGAGCTCATGTTGTTTTTCATTTAAGTCCAACTGGATTCAAGAACCTCTCTCTCCTTATCATTATTGTAATGTAAGATTTATTGTAGTATAAAATTACTAGAGTTTTGTTGTGTAATTGTTCATCAAGAAATATAGTGAAGAGTTTTAAGTAGACGGCCAGAATTGGCCAAAACCAAAACATTAAATAGTTCCATAAATCTATTAAAAAAATGGAAATGCACACATTGAATTGTTAAACTTTGATGTTTACTGGCAACGTCAAAGTCGGTGGTCTGCAGCTGAGCTAGGTTAGCCAATTATCATATAATGGACTGTGACACAGGAAATATGAAATAACTAAACTATTAGTGAACTGGAGATATGATGATTTGTGGAGAATCAATAAGAATTATTGAAGAGACTTTTACATATATTTACATTTTCATATCTGTTTAGTTTGTTAACACCATTTTATGAAATTATTACATTTACTAAAATGAATGTTATTGATTGGATTGTGGTACTTTTGGCACTAGATCGTTGTCAAGCGCAGTGTCTGATTGTCCAAAGTACAGCTTTTGATAAGTGGGCTAAAGAAATTGATAAAATGGTCTTTCCTGACAGGTCTGAACGTGGGTTGCTATTATGCTGTAGGAACTCTGCTGAACCGCATGATCATCGACCGTTACCCTGTGAGTTCAAAATTCATCTGCAATTATCTCTAAATTAATTTATTATTTGAAGAAATGCACTGATCAATCAGACCAATCAGGGTAATTTTACCTTGACTGGCTCTGACTAGTTGTCAACGCTGACTAATCTGATTTTCTTTTTTTTCTTCTTTTTTTTAAACTCCCACACTTTTTGGTTTTATGTTTCAACAGTTGTTTCATATGTAATAAATAAACTAACCATTTTTTTTTAAACTTTTCCATCTAAAAGATAAAAAGGCAGAATTTCTTGGTATTAGAAAGGTATTTTTTTCATAAAATGGGTTCAGTTTGAATGTCATAGCATTTAGTCACTGGTGTCACCGTGTGTGTATGACTCAGAAACAATATCGCATGCTCTGCCTTTTTGGTTTTTTTTTAGAACCATTTATCTTTTTTATCTTTTTATATGTGGTATACTATGGACCTTTCTTGCATCCGGAATAAAGATCGTTCAGTTGGTCGAATGATTATTGAGTTTGCTTTTGTTTGGCATTTTGTGAAATGAGGGTATTGATTATGAGCTGGTTTTAAAGAAGTTTGTGTAGGGATGTCTGCTCCATGTTGTTCCTAGTAAAGATTTTAACTGATTCAATGTTGGCCAGATGCAATAAAAAAACAAAATGTTCCTTTACCACATTTCCTACATTAGAAGCCAGCTTTAAACAGTTTGTTTGTTTATAGATTTGTGGGCATAAAAACAGGGAAATATTTTATCCAAATGTAACCAATTTAAAACAAATCCACCAGAAACCTTTGAAAACTCACAGTGGGAAATGTGAAATTTTGAAATGGAAATAGTGTAGAAACTCTGTACAACCTTGGCATTAAATATAATGTGACTAACTGCTACATTAGCAGAAGCTTATAATCGAAACACTGCACCATTTCACGTTTTTCTTTTTCTTTTTGTTGCGTAAAATCCCAATAAAATGTCTTGAAGTTTTGAATACCTTGCAAGGCACATGTTATTCTTAATTAATTTCTATTAATACCACACTGTCTTTTAATTGCTTCATTGGGAACTTCCTCTTTTGCTGTGTTTTGTGACAGGGTGAAGAAGTGAATGCTGGGAGGATTGGGCTCACAATTGTCGTTGCAGGGATGGTCGGCTCCCTGATCTGTGGAATCTGGCTCGACAGAACAAAGACATACAAGTAAGTCAACGTGAGCGCAGCAGATCCTGAGAAAGGAGGATGTTTGGTTTATAAAATTAAAGAGACATAAAGAGAGATATAATTAGAAGTCACATATAGCCAACTTTCTAAGAAGTTATTGAATTTTAATCTAAAGTCAGAGTCCCATATTTAAATCTTTATACAAAGCCTCTACACATGTCGTCTCTTCCTTCCTGTCTTCTTCTGTAGTGTTTTATCTGTTGGCTGTTTAGTCTGCACGGCTGTTTAACCAGGTGCAGCCTACTGTTACAACTGCGACCCCTCTGGTCTTCCTCATGACCTCCCAGGCTGTGCGAATAATGATGCTCGTTATTCTCAGCTGTTCTCCTCAAAAGACTTTTGCCCTACAAATGGGGAAATACAGAAAAAAATACCCCACTAATGCGCTGTTTTAGTACAGTGGAAAATGTTTCTGTTTCTCCGGTAAATCTGCTCTAAGACATTTATTATTAGATTTATCCTTTGAAAAAAAAAAAAAAAAAAAAAGAAAAGGCACCAATATTCAATGTGGCTGGAACAGTGGACATAGCCACATTTGCTGTACAGAAAACATTTGTAAAGTCTCACTGAAAGGCTCTGAAACCTACATTTTAAAACCTGTTGGACCAGAGAAAAGCTGACGTTTGATGTTAGCAGTCGGTGAGACAGCCGGCAGCACCCGTCAGTCCTGCTGTGTGGGTTGACTTCAACAGCGCAGCAAAAAACAATAAATCATCTCAAAACCTTGCACTTTCCAGTTATTGTGGTGCAACTCGCTCTGTGTGGCTGTTAGAGTGCCATAGTGCAGGAGAAATCCTCTGACTGTGAAAAGTGTTTGCTCAGCATTGAGTCCAAGTGGGTCTAATTTGACCACAATAAAAAAAAGGTTTTTTTTCTAGAAAAAGAAAAAAGAAATTCCCACAAAGTGCTTTAACATTTTTGTTCTGTAAAATTTTTGATTTTTGAGAAGATGTCAAGCGAAAAATTTCTCTTATTTGTCATGTTTATTTTTACAGACAGACCACTCTGGCTGTGTACGTCATGACTCTGGTGGGTATGATCGTATACACTGCGACACTCGACCAGGGACTCCTCTGGGTGGTGTTCATCACTGCTGGATCCCTTGGGTATTATTATTTCTAATCTTATTTAAATTAAGCAAAAAGTAACTTAAAACATCTGGGGTATGGGCTGTGAAGAGAATTTCAGATTACAGGAACAAAATATGACAAAATCTTTCTGATCAATATTGAACTATTGAAATTGTTTTTGCTCATATTTTAGTGTAAAAGTATAAAAATCTAAATTAAGAAATTTTGACAAAATATATTGAACAAACTCCTACTACTTTCTGTATTAGATGCTAAAAAAAAGTTGTCCTGGTCATCCCTCCGCTTTGTACTTTTTGCGCACAAAATTTTCCAGATAAATTGTTCTTGTCTAACAAAAACTCATATGATTCTACCTTAAAAAAATGGAGTTAATGTGAATTAAAACAGATTGTTCTTAATATTTTGTACCTGCAAACAAAATTAGATATAATAATAAAAAAAACCCTAACACGTCATCATGTTTGTTGTCATCTTATTTTCCTTTATCAACACATATTTGCTGACATAGAAAATAGAAAAGTGTACTATCTGAAAGACTTTTGCTCGCTGTCACTTCTTTGGAAGGAAATAAACTTCCTACTGTGGCTCAGTAAAAGTATCCGATGCCAAAACTTTGTTGCCATAAAGCAATAAAAAGATTAGAGTGCATTTAGAAGGTACAAAGTTTTCTTCCACATGTTAAGTGTCATGAAAAACTCTCCAACAGTTCAGTAGACGTAATACTGAGACTGAATAAAACAAACATTGTCGGTTCAATGAATCAGTTTGCAGCTGTTTTTCTTTTCTTTGAGCGTGACGTAACACATTATGTAATTTCTTTTGCATGTGTCTGGCTCCAGGTTCTTCATGACAGGCTACCTGCCTCTCGGTTTCGAGTTTGCAGCTGAGCTGACGTACCCGGAGTCAGAGGGAACGTCTTCGGGATTGCTGAACTGTTCAGCACAGGTGAAGCTGTGACTCATGCAAGCCTTTTATGACACAGTAGTAAGAAAGTTTAAAGAGAGGAATACGCCTTAGGATTGTAAAAGTTAAAATCCAATACATTCATATAGTTGTTTTGTTTTTATTTCTAACTGAACACGTTGTGCACACACAGGTGTTTGGCATCATATTCACCATCAGCCAAGGGAAAATCATCGACAAGTTTGGGACGTTGGCAGGAAACATCTTCCTCTGTGTCTTTCTGCTAATTGGCTCAATAATGACAGGTATGGCTTTTGTGAACATATGACCGTGTGAAGCAACTTCCAGGTATTATTTTGAAGTCATTCATACTGAGGTGTGCAACACCAATGTTTTCATTTCTCTAACCCTGTTATTGTTTGACTAAAGCCTCTGTGGAAGGTGGTAAATTCCAAGAATGTTGCTCTTTATGTCTGCGTATCTTAAAGCTGAAAAAGCTGGTTACATTTCAGGAAACGAATATTTTTTTTTGCTGCATAATGTCAGTTCTGTATTACTGTAAAACATTATGTAAAAAGACACCAGTTTTATTGGCAAGGAGTAGAGAATACGAGAGGACAAGATCTTTTAAAGGCACCATACAATAAAATCTTGTTTTTCTGCATATCTGCAAAGTCAAACTAAATAAAAAAGGGAAAGAATATGTGAACATGTAATCACAAAAAGCTGAGATGTCATCTAAAGGTTACTATTAAAAAAATACCGTAATTCCCGAAAGCATTCATACCGCTTGACCGTTTCCACATTTTGTCACATTGCAACCTAAAAAAAAGTAGGTATTTATTAGAAGCCTTTATGATAGATGAACACATTAGTGCGTGAGTAGTAGTGAAAAGTAGTGCTTTTAGTTTTAGTTTTTTTTTTTTTTTTCCTTAGAGAAAACCTTCCAAGCCTCAACTTAAGAGTTAAGGCTGTTAGAGCTGCAAAGGACAGGATGATGCTAAAGTCTGACTCATGCTTTCACACACACAATGGCAGACGAGGAAGTACCATTTCGCTGCATATTTATATTTTAGGTGTGCAACATTTTGTTATCGTCTACACTTCTGTTAAAATAAAATGTTTCCTGTCGCCGTTTGTGTAGTTACTGTAACGTTGCTTTATTCTTTAGTCACCACAAGGGGGCGACACGCTCACAAACTTCACACGTTTTACTTTCATATTAACTATTTTCTCTTGGGGGGTTGTCTGTCAAAGGTGAGAGGGTATAATCAACTCTCAGATATTTTTAGACATTTTGATGAAGCAATATGAGGAAGCTTTAAGAAGACTTTTTTTTCTTTTATAATATCGACTCAGATATGTTTTAAAAAGTACTTCTGCAGGGGTAAGCAATGAGGATATTTGAAAGGGATAAAAAAAAAAAAAAGTAGATAAAAAAAAATGTTCACACGTGCTAAAATACTGGAACCACCCAAACAAAATGTGGCTTTAAAAGAATCACATGAGGAAGCAATCTGAATTGCATGCAGATGATGTAAGGTGCATAACAGGTTATTCAGCTGCTGTGCCACAATGCACACAGTAGCAGAGTGCTTTCAGTAATTAAAGGTTACTGACCTTCCTCAGTCAATACAGAACCACTGAAGTGTTTCTTTCAAGGTCTATTGAGAGCTTTACGAGCAATGTGTAACTTTTAACAATATGCATTAGGCACTGAGGCGATAAACCTCGCACTCTCTAGAAAAACAAGAATCTGTGATGAGTCTTTATGCTCTCAAAGGTCAGGAGACTGACTCATTTGTTTGCTCATAGTTCAGACTATCAATAACTTGTTTTGGTCGTAATGGGTTTAAAGGAAAAGCAACTGCTTTCCTGAAAACAACAACAAAAACTTACGTTTGATTTAGTTTGCTTTCAAACTAAATTTGTCAATTATTCTCTTCTTGTGGAATAAACAGAGCTGTAAAATCTTTTATACCCTTCGATATAAAAAAGTGTGAAGGTTTTTGCCATTTCTCTCTTTCTGCAAAGTCTTTGAAAATGCTCAGCTTATGGGGCACCAGTTAAGACTTTAATGTGTCATTGTCTGTGCATGTATGACTTCCTATTCGTCCTCTCGCTGCCATCATTTATGCTTGTATGCAGCATAACATTTTACTTTCATTTATTTTTCTTTTTTACAATATCATTTTATGGCATCTCATGATCTTGCACTGCATCTTTCTGTGTTGTAGGTTTGATCAAGTCTGATCTACGGAGACAAAATGCAAACCGGCAGGCCAAAGAAGAGGTAAGTGGTGAAGGAAGGTAAGGGGATGGTGCTTGTGTAGGGATAGTCAAGGAAAATTGGGAACATAAAGCGAAAATGACAAAATAATGAACTAGATCACAATAAAACCATGATAAAAGATTATTTATCATAGCTTATACGTACTCAACATGTCTTTATTTACAATAAGATTAGTAAACGCAGTCAAAGCTATTTTCGAATAATTGTTATTATTGTGACTTTCTTTTTTTTTGCGTTTGCTTGTAAGGCAGAGTCACATTTATAGTACATGCTTCTCTAGAAATAACCAACTATGTTCCAGTGTTGTCTAATTTTTAATCCCATATGTATTCTGCATACAAGTGTATTCAGACATAAACTCTAGATGCAAGATATGCGATGCACAAGTCTTAGCTAACATACACTGCCCAGCCAAAAAAAAAAAAAAAAAGAAAAAATAGAGACAGTATCATATTTTTGTTAGACCATCTTCATGTTTGATGACAGAACCCATGGCGCTGCTTTCAGCATGAAATGAAATGAAAGGCAATCATACATTGCCTTTTTTTTTTAAACTTCAGTTTGAAAACCTAAAAAAAAAAAAATGTTTCCTGATACACAAAGTTGCAATTTCACCCCCAGAAATCCTCAAATTCACAATGACTTTGTCATTTCAAACAGTGTCACTAATGTGTTTATCAAGTTTTAAGCATTCAATGACTAAATTGAGTGCACATGCAAGATTTCAAAATTGCGTGTGCAGCGACTCAAACACAAAACGTATACTGTTCACTCTGTCAAAGTGAGTTGCTCGCATCATACATGTGGAAGAAGAAGGACGAGGAGGAGGAAGAAACGGCATGAACAGCGAGTCACAGGGTTTATGACACACATTGTCAGTGTGAGGCATTCTGTGCAGAAAGCCTTTTTCATCCTCTTTGTGCTGTTTGTAAGTTGCAGAAAATAATAACACTAACAATCATAAAAAAAAATAAAAATAAATCACAGCTTTATTTATAGTTGCCTTCAAGACCCACATGCACATTGAACCGGATAGAAGCGGTCACAACAGCATGGAGTACAATAGTCAACACAGCAGGCAAAGACCTTGTGTTTGATCCTTCACTGCATGGCCGTAACTCATGGTGGGGGTGCAGGAACTTCCCATACTTAAAGGGAAATTACATTCTGATGGTGATGTGAAACCCTTGATGATGCCATTGTGGTTGTGTAGCCAGGAAAGCTTCAGGAACAACCTACGTTGTTTGGCGAGTACGTATAGCAGACTAGCGTCGCGATGCCCTGAGACTAAAATACATTTTTCAAACTCCCTCCTGTCGAGCAACGCTTAAAAGGTCTTGAAGGCCTGAATGCATTTCCTTTATCTTCATCTGGTGTGAAAGTGGGCTTAGTGAATGAAAAGCTGCTCACTGTATTGAACGGAATCAAAATAAGGTGGAAACTTAATAACCACTCTTCTAAGATGAGCCTCTTAACTGTGTTCTTTATTAAATGTCTTCATTTGGCTGGGCAGTGCATGTTTGTCTACAGCTGCAATCAATCCAGAGATACTGCTCTTGTGATTCACGCTGTTTTTGAACTGTTTAGTCATCGTGTGTTCCTAATTCTGGATGGGCCTCCGAGCTTTGTGGTGAAGTTACTGCTGAGTGCTGACAGTAAAATCTTGGGTTTCATTGTACACACATTCCTCATTTCGATTCTAGATGTGCCTGAGTCACCTTAAGCTATACTTTTGGCTTTCGCAAACTTGCACCTTTGCACTTTCTGCAGGACAACGAGGCGCTGACTTTGAATTTTTTTTCCCCCCTTCAATTCAGTAGCTTGATCAGAGAAGATTCAGTGGCTTTTAACGAATATGTGATTAATTAAATCTCCGTCAGTTTCTCCTGAACTTCATCCCAGACTGGAGCCTCATGCATCTGTAATTGCTGAATGAGAAGTGATCGGCAACTGTTGTTTTAGGCGGAGAGACGGATGCTGGAGCAAGACTACGGAGCGACAACCCAAATCTCACCCGAGCCACAAACTGCTTCCTCTCAAGCCTGATCAAACAAAAAATTTTCTGTGCACACACAAAAAAAAAAATCTCCTCAAATTTTAGCTCAACACACAGCATTAGAAAGGTAGGAGCACAGAACAATCACACACTGTTGTTGATTATCTTGCCACCTGCTGTACACTATTTCACTGCGCACCTTTAAATCTCTCCACTCTGTCTCTCTGTTTGTGAAGATCAATGCTTAATCAACTGTATTTTTTAATTCTTTCACTGTGTGTTGCTTGAAATTATTTTTTTCCCCCCAGATTCAGAGAATTAATCTGAGCGAGCAAAATGTGTTTTGCTCAAATTACATTTTTCAAATGTATTATTACAGACACTGAAGGAAATACATTTAGCTAACTCACCATGTAAAAGGTACTTTTGCAAAAGGAAAAGAAAAATCTCCAACAGCTGAACATATTTGTTAGTCTCTTAAAGATTTTTCGTTCACATCTTATTTTAAACAATTTATGGAAAAAATTTAAAAATCAAACTAACCTCTGTTTAAGGGTTTAAGTGTAGCTCAAAGGAAATCGGTAGAATAAACCAGATCATATGTTCAAAGTTTTTCTTCCTCATAATTCGCAGCATTAAAGTAGCTATATTGTCACACTGTAGTTTGGTATACTACTGATATTTATCATTTTTTTTAATAGCAGAATTTTATTTAAGCTTCATGTAATCTCTCATGGTCCTCCCATCACCATACTTTACTGCCTCCATCTGACGTATTTGTATTTTATTGGGATTTTATTTGATATAGCAAGACAAAGTAGTGCCTGATTGTGTGAACTGCTAGAACTTGATAGTTTAAAAAAATCTTTACAAGTACACAAATGTAACAGCCTTCCTCATTATCCATTATAGCTGCTGAAACAGAAGAAGCAGAATTAACAAATAATTTTGCGTATGCTGTCTTTTTACTCCCCATCATCCTTTAGTCCTAACAGAGAACTAATCTTTTTTTTCCAGATTTAAGCAAATTAATGTTTGTTTGTTTTTTTTCTCTTTACCGTTAATGAATTAGAATGAAAAGGTTCTCATTTGTTGGTGGTCAGAACCAAACGTACTCAGTGTGAAGCATTATTATCAGAAATGTTTTTGTGTAAATACTCTTACTATGTTTGGCTAAACATGCAAGTCAAATGGCTAATTTTACTGTACATACAGACATTTATATTAACTTAATACGTTTTTTTAATTTACAGGAACCTCCTGATTCCTCCATGGGAAACTTGGACTCACCCACCATCATCAAAGAAGTCCGGTTATAGAGGAATTAATTTAATCTCCGACGATTTTAATCTCAAGTACTGATAATCATGAAACCACCAGATTGCTTTCTCTTCTGAATAGACTGAGACAAATCTGTGAAACAATGCTGCCTTGACAGTTTGATCTGTCAGTATTTTATTTTTTTAAAATGTTTATTAATATTATCTGACTGAAATAGAGCAACAAGGTTTGATACTTTGTTGTTTCACTTTAGATTTGATTTCATTACACAGTAGTTTTGAAATTTAGGTGTCTGATTATGTCCAGAGTTGCTGGGAAAACTGAAATCGTAATAGTGTTTTTTTTTTTTTTTGTTTTCTTTGTTTTCTTGGTTTTTTTTTTGTTTTGTTTTGTGCAAACCTCATGAGGTGAGAGGCAGTGTTACTACTACTAGAGTTTGTCAAAACCCAAGTAATGAAAACAAAGAAATATCTGCACACTTTATGAAAACAGTCAACTTGTGCTGCTGTAGTAGAATCCAATATTAGAGACTGGCTTAAAGGGGCAGTGTTATGTAAAATTGACTTTCTTGAGCTTTACACCATGTTATAATGTTATTCCCTCATCAAACACATACCTGAAGTGCTGCCTTGATTCTTCCATTCATGTTTGAGAAATTATTCAGTCTCCCGTGGCAACCATTCAGCTGTGCACAACGCCTGGGGGGACCTAGCACCACCTTCGAGATGCAACTTCAGCTTCGTGCTGCAGTTTCGAAGCATCTGAGCTCCCATCTCACAGAGCAGCCCTCCCCAGCAACTGCCCCACTCAGCTCCTTCAGACTAGTCAGCAGCAATTAGTAAATATCTGGTGGATCTGCTGGGCTTGTTATGCGAGCTACTTCTCAGTGCAACGCTGGTAAAACCGCTGTTGAAGGGTTAATAGAAGAGTGATGTTGTGATTACTTCCTGAAAGTGAGTTTTCAGAGAAAGAGGCCCAATTTCAAGTCACTAAATACTGAAGTCAAATTTCTTTTGAGTAATATTTGTTATACGCAGCATTTTTATAACAACTGAAGGCAAGATAGTTAGTTGATTGTGCCATAAAATTTCACTATGTGCCTACAAAACAGATAATATTGCCCCCTTCACCGGAGAAAAATATCCATGTAATTGTATCAGCGAGCAGAGCGCTCACTTCAGTTTTCAAAGGGCTGAATCTATACAGCACGTTTCCGGTCATTCTAACTATTCGAAGCACTTTACACCAAAACCAGATTCAAACAATCATGCTCACATTTGAACCAGTGTGTCATCGTTCCAGTTATTTCACTTTTGTTATTTGTCCTGTTATTTCTCTTTAGGTTAGTAGTTATTTTTCTTTCAACCACTCTAATGACTAGACTAAATTTCTCTCACGTCAGCTGAGTGTTTTTTGTCTTTCACAGTTTTGAAGAGCGTCACTAAATCTAGCCTCTGTGTTAGGTCATATTTAAAACACATTTTGAAAAAGTAAAAGGTGGGTCTCCAATTAAACACTAATTAACTTAGAACACTAAAGAAAAAAAATGACAATCGTATTTCAGCTACCTTCTTAGACTGGATTATTTTTTCCCGGTGGATTATTCTTTTCAAATTAAAAGTTGGATTTTTCTAAAATTGGCAGTGCAATAAAATAAATATTTAAGGCTTTATACTGTGATAAAAATGATGTAAACTTTATAACCGTGTTTTAGTTTTTAAAAATAAGACTTAATTATAACAAAAGAGGGATTCTAGTTTCTTGCAATTTACTGAAGTGTATTTATTAGGGATTTAAGTTAATTAAAAGAACTAGTCAGAAAATTAGAGAAGAAATTTGGGAACAATATTGATTGAGCAACACAGACCCACACCCTGCATGCAAACATCCACACTCAGGCATTAGCACCAGAATCAAATTAAAGTTTGGACTAATCCTGATTTATTATTATTTTTTAAGTTTTTGATTCTCTGAATTAGTAAAATGCGATAAGTGTCAGACAAACAGTCACACTTGCTTACAGGCATTGAATGACTCTTGTTCTGATTACACTTTATAGTTATCATAATATAAAGTATGATAGGCGCTCACGGATGTCATTAGAGTGGGATAAGAGGTTGTTTTGCTAATCTAAAAGGTTCATCAAGGATATTTTCAAGGTCAGTTAGAGATCTATAAAAGTTTGAAAGGTCAGATTTGAAGTGTTTGTGCTGAGTGCTAATTTCACTTTAAAAAAAAATACTGACTTTTCACTGACTCAACGGTTTGGCTGTTTCCCACTTGTCCTCTTGTGTTGACTGGTTACTTTGTTTTCACAGTTTTACGGATTATCACTACGTGGATAAGCACACTTACTCTCTATGTTCCTCTAGAAGCATTGAGATTAGCATTAAGCATTATTGCCTTTCTTTTTTCATTTTTGTCAAAAATGTCTCATGCATTTTCTTGAAAACTGTGTTTTATTTAATTTTTTCGCCATTTTATTTTCAGCTGACACTGGTGTTGACTGAAAACAAACAAATGTTGTAACACAACCTCTAGAGGGCGCCCTTCATCCATTTCTCTGTTTTACCAGTGCACATTCAACAGTGGAACAGCCTGATTTTTGTCATTGTTAAAAATGATGGCTAACCATTGTTCTTCGGTTTTCAACAGTTGTTTCTGTTTGAATTAGACAGGCAGTTGAGATGTTAAAATAAACAAAAGAAGGAGCTCTGTAAAACAACATAAAAACATCTAGCCTACTTTAACTTTTAATTATTGCACTTTTTTCCCTTTTTTCCCCCACTGCATAAATCCAGGTGGAGTCTTTAATTTATTTTTGACTAACTAACCTAGAGCCTCATAATGTCGATGAGTAGGCACTAACTTTGTCACTGTATGTCACAGTTCATGTCAGTAGGAGGATATCAATGATTAAGACAGGGAAAAAATATTGATTTTGGCCCTTTACAGGGTTCGCAT